CACCAGAAATGTTCTGTCATGGTATTGCCAATCTGTATGGTTCTTAAATTTCTCCTAGGACAAGAATAGTGTACCCTGTAGCTGTTTCCAGAACTAAGCTTTTTTGGGTTGGTCGTAGTTTACGATGCAGTATACCTGTTCAGATGAAGGACTTGGTTGCAAGAGTATCAATAACGAAGGTGCCTTCTTGGTTATCGATATATCCCTTGACCAATACATTTTGTTCGTTTTTATTTAAGGTTTAATTAGAATTTTGGAGCCCTTTGTTGCAGTCGACGCCTGCACCTTAGTATTGACCTTTTTATATCCCTAATTATTGCTATAAACTTGGCTAAATGTGGGTAAGCGTCTTCTTTGGAAGGCATATCTGCTGTAATTATTTCTTGTTGGACTTCGAGACGGGCTTCGGGACGTTGAACCAGGTACATTTTTGGCAAAATGTTCGATTCCAGATTTACAGAGCGAGCTCTGCTTCTACAAGTTCTTTGAAAGTGTTTGATTATTCCGCAATTGAAGCATCTTCTGCTATTATTTTGGCTATTTCACTGCATATTTTGCAAAATGTTTAAAATTTGTAAGAGGACAGGTTCGGAGATAGTACTAGTAGTGGTCTTTTCTTTCCTGGAATCTACATTCTTTCAATTTTGCACAGAAGGATATGGATATCATTTTAACTGCTTAGTATTTCTGGACTGCAATTAATGTCTCACTTAGCGTCTTTTGGTATTGTAGCTGAAGAAACTGCTGCATCTCCACATTCTGTAGTCCATTAATAAATGCCTGTATGCCGATTTGTTTTAAGAAATTTTTGAGCGCCTGTAAATAGGCCAGCTGCAGCAATCTTTTTATATCGGTCTTGAATTCCTGTAGAATTCTCATTGTGTTTTTAACAGCGAACCTTTAGCTGGCTTTGGGATACCCGTTTCAAATGCTGCTGGCCATAACTTGTCTCCAAATATTGGACAAGAGACGAATAACTGGGTTTCTCTTGGGGAAATAACTGTAAAACGGTTACTCCTTTTTTTTTATCTTACGTATCCTATAACAGCCGCAGGCTACTGCAGGATGTTAAGTGCAAAGTAGCAATATTTCCGTAATAAGAAATAGTTTACTTTTCAACGCTCTGGAAACAAATATATTCGTTTATTCCTAATATTACTATTCATTGATGAATTAAACAAGTTAGTACAAGTCAGTATTCCTACATTCCTACGTTGTCTTTACGAATGTATGAGACAAAAATGGACAAGTTCTCGTAAACTTTTCGTATGTTGTCACTTTTTGATCTGAGATATCAACACCTCCCATGTATTTGTTGTACAAAAAAATGGATGTGGGATATAGTATTTCAAGCTTTTCACCAGGTTTTGAAGTTTTCTTTGTACTTTCAATAATATTGGAATAAAAATTTGATATAACTAATACGTCTTTCGTATCCCGCAATTTTGCTGCAATAACTTCCTCAGAGTTGACTAGAAACTCCGAGTCACCTCGATTTATCAAAAATTAGCAGAATTTCATGCATGTAACTATCAGCAATTGCTTTCCGATTTAGTATCATCGCCAATCGTTGATTTGTACAGTCAGCTATATGTATGAGATACACATAAAGTTCAATAACTCTACCATCTGCGTAGGGAGGTATTTGTTTTCTAAGAACAAATGTATCAGTAGAAAAAGTCCAAATCATCGGCGGAATGTCGTGTTTCTTTTTATCTTTGATAAATGTAGTTCCTTTCGGTAGATTCTCATATTCACAATCTGTATCATTGTTGTCATCACCTTCACATTCTATACCAGGGTTGTCTTTATATTCATAGTTTGACTCAGTTTCGCTTATATCTGTTTCACGGCGCATTTTATTTTCTGATTCTTCTTCATCTTGTTCTAATGAAGCATAATCACTACCATCTTCGGAACAAGAGAATGGGTCGTGTTCTGGACTTGATATGTTCCCCAGTTAGTTTTTTTAACTAATCTCTAAAAAATACAATCACTATAATGCATAATAATGAGTTTTACCACGACTGGACCTATTGTCCCATTTATGAATTCGGTTTGGATATATCATCCCAACAAACAATTCATTCATTTTGAACAGAGAAAAACCAAAAATATCTCTTACCTGCTTTTGTTATAGCATTGTTCCTCAACAAGTCACTAGAAATATTTTTTAAGCCGCAAAACTTGCAAAGAAACAAATAACATCACAAAGTTGACACACGTGCTTTGTTTTAGGTTAAACTAACTAAAGTTGTAAACAAACCGGCTTGTATTTTATGTTGCCTATACTCGCAGCACTTAATAACACTGAAATACAATAATTCCGTGTATCTTAGGGATACATTTTCCCTCTCGTTATTTTCTAACAGTCCGTGAGACGTATTGTCCCGTTAGTGGCGAATGGGTTAAAATGCTTAATTTATTTTAATAAAAACAAGGACAACAATAATAATAGTCGAATAACTATAATACTAGAAAAGTACACCTAACTTATTTATCTCATAAATTAAAAATCACTGAGAAATATCCATACTAAATTTCTTAAATAATAAATTAAAAATCTGATGTGTCCAACACATGACTTTCCTATCTAGTTATTATAGGCTTTTTCCGGTTATTTTGTAAAACCTATTGCAGACCTTTATAAATGTTTAGAGGATAAATTAAATATATACATGTTCCACATACATCTAACTCGACACATTTTTCTATAATATATTCCATAAAATATAAAAACGGCCTCCCATAAAGTACCCCCCCCCCCCATATGTTCCGCCTTCGTCCAAAATTTAATCATTTCACCTCAGGCCGAAATAAAACTTATGTTTAAAATTTAATGTTTTTTCCTTTCTCCGTTTTTGAGTTTTCTTCAAAATTCGAAATTTAGACATTTTCTCAAATATCTCGAATACGGTCCATTTTACAGAAATTATGTATGGAATAAAAATTATAGAGAATTATATCACAAACAACTTTTATTTGAATAATTTTTATAACAAATCATTTTTTTACATATTGTCAAATTTCTCGAATACGGACCATTTTAGGAAAATTTTATATGGAACAAAAATTATAGATAATAATATTGTAAGTAACTTTTATTTGAAGAATGTTCTTCTCTAAACGTAAATAACGAATATATTCCATAAAATATAAAAATGACCACCAATAAAGTACCCCCCAAATGTTCCGACTCTGTCCAAAATCTAATCAGTTCACCGCAGGCCGGAATAAAGCTTAAGTCTAAAATTTGGTGTTTTTCTTCGTATCGGTTCATGAGTTATGGTGGATACAGACACACACACTGACACACAGACACACACACACACACACACACACACAGACATCATCCCGAAAATAGTCAAAACGGATTCAGGGGACCCCAAAAACTGGAGGTCGAAAAAAATCATGATTCCTATACTTTCTTTATATCTGTATACAGATAGGAGAGTAAAAACTAATAATTGTGAAATTAGAACGTTATTCTCACTAGTAATACCACTAGAGGTCAAATTATTCCCGGAAATTTTTTCGAGCTCATGAATATTTTGAAAATTTTTCTAAAAATATTCATGAGCGAGAAAAAATTTCCTGATATTAATTTGACCTCGCGTGGTATTCGGTAAGAAAATTCCACGCCGAATTATGGTTGAAAATTAAATATTTTTAAAATTTATTTTTCGTTTCTCAACAATGCAAATTATTTTATCCAAGTCACCAGTGAAACATAAAAGGTATTGTCGCCTTGATTGTTGAGTTGTCATGGTAACTAAGTGAGACCCTAACCTCGAATATAATTTCAGTTTTGAAGGTGTCAAGCGGCCCGACGTAAAAAAATGTTTCGCTGCAATTATTTAGGCCTTCAAATTGCTTATTTCTACTCATTGTAGTTGCATGGGAATACCATTTGAAAATAGAAAATTGTTTTTCTGCGTTTTTATTAACATGCATTATGAGCGCTTTAAAATGGTATGAAATTCATAACCAGCGTCAGCAAGCATCAATCGTAGGCGGCTGTGATCATTGTATTTTGACAGTTCAAAACATTAAATAACTCGCGTTTTGTTGCGATAAAGAATATTGCACAGCAAGTAAAACCAACAAAATTACCTATTTGTTTAAAAATGAATCGATTTGAAAATCATACGCTATGCAAAATATGCGTGAAATTGTCTGATGTAATGATCAATCATTGCACCATGACTTACTTACTCGGATTAATAGAGGATTGTGGCTCCAACTTGAAAAACGAAAATTTGTTCTGAATTGTCCACGAATATTTGCACCTAAACTACGCAAAATTCAAAGTGCTGAATGGGAAAAAGGTGAATAAATTAGTGTCTAAATATTATATATATTTTATTAGACATAGACACATAATTCAAAGCATCCAAAGTCCTGCATTTTCGCCATTAAGAAGAAAAGAAGTGGCCGAAGAATATAGAAAACACCTTAGCATTGTAACTAAAATGTATCAAAACTAAACCTATTATGTGAACAAATAAAAACCAGTCTGTCAAAAATGGTCTGTTATTGTAAACGTCAAAAAATTTCCAGTATAATTCGCTGTTGGGTACCCCACGAGAAAAAATTTCCACTAAAATACCTCTGTTGCCATGGTGATCTGTCAAAAACACGTATTTTGATTGGTTCAAAATTACAGGTGTGGAATTTTCTTAGTAAATATTAAGATTTCAATTTAAATTAACAATTTGTTTTGTTTTCGACACTATTTCATTCTGTGCTGTTAGTTATAAATAATATTTTGTATTTGTTATTTTTTTTAAGAATATTATTTTTATTATTCTATACATAGTCAAATATGATGTCGCCTTTTTAACAGCACATCACCACCTTTTTATTATTCAACCTCACTGACTAGAATTTAGGTAAAAAACATTTGTCCGTGATCGAAATTTCCATCACGTGCTGCAACGCTGCGGCCGCACGTCCCTCCGACACTAGAAAACCATTAACACTTCGTTTTTCTATTGCAGCCCTTCCGGAGGAAGGTCCGAAGATATCAGGTGGACGTCCCCGCTATCAAGTAGGCGATACTGTTCGCGTGAATTGCACATCGGGCAAGTCGAAACCGGCCGCCCAGCTAAATTGGATGATCAATGGAGAACCAGCCGACCCCAAGTTTCTCAAAGGGCCCGAGACTGTCACGTTAGGTAAGAAAAATCCGATACAATATTAACTTTTCCGACAAATTTGATCCTTTATAAATATTTTGTGATTACACTTTGACGCTTATTGACAAATATGACATTTGATGAATATTGACAACTAGGAATTGACGTTTGTTGGATATTGATAATAATTGACGTTTGATTGATAGATGGGGTTCTGTTAAAATGTTTAGTAATAAACAAAGATTGTAAAATTGATTTTAGAAAGAAGCAATTTTATTGGAAATTAAACGTTTTTTTGAAGAAATGAAATCTCAAACCGAGAATGATTTTTTTAAACTTTTATTTTACTTAATACAATAATTACACAACTCCACAAAAAAAAAGTGGTCTATGCTGGGTGTTCGACAAAGATTTTCCGACGTATTTTTTACCGCTGAACACGAATCTGAAGTCAAAATTGGGGGTCAAACTGCAAAAAACGGAGAAAAATTAAAAAAAACCGATAAGATATTGATTTTTTTTATATTTTTTAAATATTTTTTAAATTTTTTTCTCTTTCTGTTACATTTATAAATTCTTGGCTTCTTTATTCTATTTTTAATTTTATTTCGTGCAAATTATTTTTTAATACATGAAATTATTTTGAAAAACTTTTTATCATTTAAATTAACTTTTAGTTTATATACTTGAACTTTGTCTAGTTTTTGTTTCACTTTAGGATGTGAATTGGCTAACTTTTGTGGAACTATTTTGTTAATAACATCTTCGTTTACATCGTTTATATCCAATGATGCAAACTGTTAGGTTTTGTTTGAATTTGTTTTGAATTTGCACCTTTATTATTACCTGAATCAATATTGTTTATTTCTAAATTAGAAATTTCTTTTTCTACAAATTTTTCTACCAGAATAGGTTCTGATAAAACAAATGTTATGGTACAACCATCGTTATTGATAACTCTGTCTAACGCAGTACCATCTTTTGTTGTAGTCATACATTACAGTTTCTCACAATTATTAAGTTTTTGATAAGGAATAATTATATTGCTGTTTTGTATAGAGGTCTTTGTTTTAATTATTTGCTGAGTTATAGGTTTAATTAAAACTGTGTTATTTTAGTTAGAGTATTTAGAAGCTCCTAACTTATGATAATGAAGTGGAATATTTGCAAATGGTGTAACAATACATCCTTGTTAAAAAATTATATTTGCTTGCAATAACTTAATATTATCTATGCCTATTAAGCCATCAAATACATTATGGAATTTAAATAACAAGCTATTTTAGTTTTCCTTCATTATTAAGATTAAAAATTTTAGAGGCATTAATATTTACACTATGTTTATGTGCCGATTTCTGAAAACTGTAGTCACTACAAATGGTTCATCTATTATATTATTTGGGTAAAATTCTTCAACTACTTCAGGGTTAATGAATGATTTTCAGGATCCTGTATCCACCAATATTTTTAAATTATGCTCAGCGAAAATAATATAGGATAATTCACTTAAATCCGCAGAATTTATTGAAATGTATACGGGAGATTTTCTTGCGAGTTATTTTGTTCCGAGGCCTTTACCAAAAATTTGTTGTTTGACCTTTATTATCATTAACTTTTTCAGAAATATTTTATTAATTATTATATTGATTAACAGGGTTTTCAACCATTGAATTAAATATAGGTTCTATTTGAGAGTTAAATAACTCTTCGCAGGTAAAATTTTGTGACTGACTCGCCGAATATCTAAAATAATTTGAAGGTCCTGGTCTCGAATAATTTTGTTTAGTATTCCTAGTTGATACTGACCTTAGAAAAAAGGAACCGAAGATGTTACATTGCACACTGCGCATGTTGTCTATTTTAAGCCAAAGTAATCCACCAATTGAAAATCATTGTTGCACGACGCCACCCGAATTGCTCCGATTTCCATTCAGCGATCACCTCCACTTGAGTTTAATCACCATTGACAGCTGTTTTTTAAATGATTTGTTGGTATTTTAGCAATTTAAAGTGTTCTAGTTATTCAATTTCAAGTTGAAAATGTCACGATGTATCTTGAAAAATTGTATGTACTTATAATACAAGTACTACTGTTATGAATATATTTGTTTTCAGCTGTAAATATTTATTAACGTTTTGACAAAAGCGCCATGATTCTCTGGGCTGAATACTTGAGATCCGCATTAAGGGGTTTCAATAAATATTAAGCATCAGAAATCAGATTTCATATTACTTACATAAATTTACAAAAGGGTTGCTAACGAAATTTTGTATTTAAAAAGTAGTTTTATAAGAATGTTTTATAAAGGTAGTTTTTAGCCCTTTTTGGTAGATAAATAAGAGGTAAAGAATCATAGTTGCTAGCAAAATTTTATTTTTATAAGGTATTTTTATAAGAATATTAGATGAAATACAGGATGACCTACTTAAAATTTCAAGGTTCATCTTATTTGCGGTCAAATCGAAAGTGACATTGAATTTTCAGTCTTAAAACAAAGTAATCTAGTATAAGCAAAAAAAAATACTAAAGTTACAGGAGTTAGGCCCGATTCCACCGTTTTGTTAAACGGAGATTAAAATGACAGTGTTAATGTAAAAATGTCATACTCGAACATAATTTTCGTTTACTAAAAAAAATCCAAAATTTAGCAATATTTATTTATTATACAATCGAATGCGATTTCAAAGATAACTGGATCAAAAAATCCGAATCTCTAAATTTTGGAGCTAAATGCTCAGATAAAAGCAAGCGACCGATAGGGGTTACAAAAATAATCGATTTATCGTTTAATAGGTTTTTTAATTATTTGATTATTTTCGATTTTTCAAAGATATATGAAAATAATCGATTGAATATAATCGGTTATTTTAAATAATCGATATTTTTGTTATTTTTTTAAAATTATCGATTTATTGGATAATCAGCTTTTTAATAATCAATTATTTTCGATAATCGAATAATCAATTTCAAAGGAAATATGAAAAAAGGATTATTAGAAAATAATAGATAATTCGTTTTATTTTTTGGAAAATCGATTTATCATAGAATCGGCTTATTAATTAATTGGTTATTTTCGATTAGGCGATTATTTTGGAATTATTGATTATTTTTGGTATTTCAAAGATAATCGAATTATCGATTTTAAAGGAAATACAATAAAAATAGATTATTGATAATAATCGATTGATCGAAAATAACCGATTATTTAAAATAATCGATCATTCTCTTTTTTTTTTGAAAATCGATTTGTCAGTTAATCGACTTTTTAATTAATCGATTATTTTTGAAATACAATAAAATAGATTATTGGTAATAATCGATTTATCATAGAATCGGGTTCTTCGATTAGGCGATTATTTTGGAATTATCGATTATTTTCGGTATTTCAAAGATAATCGAATTAACTATTTTAAAGGAATACAATAAAAATAGATTATTGATAATAATCGATTGATCAAAAATAATCAATTATTTAAAATAATCGATCATTCTGTTTTTTTTTAATCGATTTATCAGTTAATCGACTTTTTAATTAATCGATTATTTTTGATTAATCGATTATTTTCGATTTTTCAAAGATTATCGAATAATCTGTTTCCATGGCCGAAAAAAAAAATGGTTTATTTGAAAATAATAGATTATTTAAAATAAACGATAATTCTACTTATATTATATTTTGTAAACACTGATTTATCGGTTAATTGGCTTTTTAATTAATCGATTATTTTAGATTTTTCAAAGATAATCAAGTAGTCGATTTTAAAGGAAATGACAAACAATATATTGTTTGAAAATAATCGATTGATCGAAAATAATCGATTATTTTCAATGATCGATAATTTATTTCGATAATCACTCATCCCTAGCGACCAAATGACTTTTAATAGATTTAAATTTTAAAATGTTATCTGGTTTCAGACATATGCATTTCTAGAGTTTTATGTTACTCATCCTTTATAATAATTAATATTCTTAAAGAAAGAAGCCTTAATATACTTTTTTCTGAGGTTACAATACAAAACAGCATTTTCTCATTTTGACTAATTTTTAATAATATGTAATAGCCGTAGAAAAAATATAATGTTCAACTTATAAGGGTAGATTTGCAGTATTAGCCTGCGCACATGCTATTTTTATAATACTCGTAGACAATGAGTAACATTTTTTGCTCTATTAACAATATATTCTATTTCAACATTTTACTGTAATCTCTTGCAGAAAAGTCCGTAGTAAATAAACGCTAACGAAATATTCTATAAAAGGTCTTCTCTTTACATAAAATGTCGTGGCATCTGTTTGATATTAAAAAATCACGGAAATTTTATTTCATAATACAAAATTCGATTAAACACCTTTTAAATAAACCTAATAGTTCATTAAGATGCTAATAAACAAAGTCCGGTCCCTGTCACAGAATTCGGGTCGCCGCGTGTCGCCGCCCAGTTCCCCCACTCCGTTAACCCTTCTTTAGAAATTGGCAACATTTGCGCAGGTTTAAAACCGGTGTATGTTATATATCTGGTCTCTTTTATCTAAAATACTGACTTAGGTGTAGGGTTTGGTAAATTTGTTTTTTGATTTGGTTTGAATACATTTGTATTCTTAGTTGGATAATTCTGTCTGAAAACTTGGACATTAGTTGGGTAATTATTTCTTTGTAAAAAATCACTAGGTGTGTTAAAATTATTTGCAAAATTTCTATTTTAAGTCGGTGGAAGATAACTATTTTTTATTATATTGGAAATTTGCTCTTTAAGTGAAATTAGGTAAATTTCGAGAATCATTTTTATTTTGGAAATTGTGAGAAGAATTTTGATTTTGAAAATTACGATAAGAATTTTACAAATAATAAAAATTACCTTCTTTCAAAGCAAATTGCAAAGCCTCACTAAGTGATGTTGGCTTCATGCATCCTATTGTTGTCCTTAAAGCCTTTTTTAATCCTGACAAATATGTTTTTAATGTTAAATTTATATATAATTCTCGTCTGCTACTTCTTGTATGTTAACATAACTACATAATAAATTTAATATACAAT